AAACACCAGATAATCTCGCTGCCCACAAGAATTCGAAAAGGGCATTGTACGGTAAACAAGAAACAATACGCGAAAGGACAGCTCACCTTTGCCTGGCCTTCCCTTCCTGCCTTTTTACTTCAGAATCGACATAAAGATCCTTCAGAAAAAGCTCCCTGCTGACGCCAACCCTCTCGTCTACTTTGCTTCCACCAGCTTCACCAAAGCGGTAGCGCTTCACCACAATTATAAGGGATCTAAAAAAGAGAGAAAACACTGGCCGTTAAACTTGAACAAAGAAAAAAAACTGATTTCAAGTTACAAAAACTAGAACTAAAATGGACAAAAAGGGCAACGGATGGGCAAACCAAGAAAACGACAACAAAGAATATGGTCATTAACAACCGTGGAGGAGGGGCATTCAGAGGAAGGCTTGGAAGCTTCCCGAGCAGTCCCTCCTGAAACTGAGAACTCTGCTCAAGCCCAAAGGTAAGGGAGAGAGCTCCGGGTGGGTGAACCAACATGATGTACGGTACTTGCACTTGCATAAATTTACTGTCAGTTTTATAACAATTGCCGACGGATGTCCCCTCCCCCTCCCTAGGTTATTCAAGACTGGACTGCGGTAAGTCAAGTAGTCTCCATTCCTCTAAGGCTGCGCACGATAAGAGCGGTCTCCTCCCCTGTAAGGCTGGGCACAGTGTTCTTTTTCGACACATAGACCCTGACACAAGCCGCTTCATCACAAGCCCTTCATCCCAATTACGCTAGTCTAAAATATTCAGAAGACAAGATGAACTGGAAACTCACTGCGGTAACGTAGCAAACGCACGGCTAATGAACCCCGAACCTGGACCACAAATATCGCACTTGTATTCAATTTCTTCTCGGGCTAATGCGTGTTCTATCATTTTTTGAATCGATTCTCCAGCTCTAAAACTTCTGCAACAATCAAAACCACCCTGAACCTACTCTACTATGAACGCACCTAACAGTCACAGTGAGATCAATAGCATCATTGGTCATTTCGCTAGCGCGTGCACATCGTTCACAACCATATCTGGAAATGGAGAAAAGGAAATTACACGTCACTCAGGAAAGAAGAGAACATATTTCATACCTATCCCTAATCTTATGCTGGAAAACACCGGCAGGGTTCCTTCCCATTGATCTTGGTGAGGATGAACACTACATTAGGTAGAAATGAGATTTCGAAAGCGGGGGAAATCAATTATCAGGTGGGTATTAATGCACTCACAGAAGTCGGTGAACTCGTCTTACTGCCAGAAATTGAGCGATTGAATTTCCTCAAACGTAGCGCTTCCTTTTCGAGAATCTCCAACGTCTTCGCCAGAAATTCATGCGCATCCTGGAAGTTACATTACTAGAAAAAGGCATGTAAAAACACAAAATATGCGAACCAGACGAATTGAAAGCGAGTTTAAAAAAGGCAGAGAATACTGGGTCTTACTTGTTGAACGTTCGACCCGAAGTCTGGGTCTGAGCCAAGCTCTTTCCCAGCGGCCGTTCTTAGGGCTTCGAGAACCTGAATAAAAACAAGTAGCCATAAAAAGTAATTAATTCCGACAAAACTGCCCGACATACCGAGATCTTCGTGGCTGACCCATATTTACTATCTAAAACTCGGTCAGGTGATACAAGGTTCTGCAGCACGTCGTTAAACCGCCTAAAGTAAGATTCTTTCTGAGGTGGTACAACTAAGCTCACATACTAATCCTCCCACTAAACTTACTTTACAAATTCGGAACAGTCATATCCTTCCTCATATATTTGCTGGATCATCTGCATACGATAGTAGAACGGAAAAACTGAGGCGAGTGCTTGCAGTGTAGCATTCATATAACAGGAGTTGGTCAGGTTTTCAAGACTGAATAATAATCGCTACACAAATTGTCTAACACAGCCCGTAAAACTAAAATTAAAAGCATAGATCTTGCGAAACACTATTTTGCAGATAATGCTACTTCCAAGTTAGTACACCTAAGATTGCGGGGTAGGTGGTGGGCTAGTGGCACGCTTAAAACGTACACAGTCGGGGGTCGGATCTCCGATCGGCTCCTGCGCAGGCCAGCCGATGCATTCTCTTAAGTGGCGGTTCTCCCAAGTCGCAAACTACGAACTATGGAGACAAATGATCGCACAGAAATGTATTGTCTCCGCACAGGCTCTTGTAAATGCCCATCAACCCAATTCGATCCTTCGACATTTTCCCTTTCCTTTGCGCGTATTCCGCGAATTTACAGATCCTCATTTTTGACCCGATTTCTTCCATTGGGCATTGAATATTATTCTCACCTTAGGCTTTCAAATGCCACGGGAACAGTCCAAAAGAGACCAAAATATCTAACCATAAGTTTTCTCGGCCAGCGCCACATCGTTTATGGAATTACTCACCCTCTATACGAGTACGGAGAAGGTAGTTCAGAAGTACTAGAAGTAGGCATAGAGGTGGTCTGAGCGGAAGAATCCTCAATTGTGTCAACTTCTTTCCTTTTACGGCTCGGTGTCGTTAAAGCTCTATAGCTAAAACACATGAGTTTTCACAACCTAAAGAAATGAAACAAGTGAAGCTTATGAACTCCATTTTAAGCGCAGTGGGCACGATAGTTGGAAGCGGGCGGTTGTTGCCAGCTTCAGTGGTGAAAGGACTGTTAAAGAGGCTTTTTAGCCACATCACACACCACCCCTGCACCACAGACATTGGCGATATCCGCCCGACCAAGGCATCGTGCCCTTTGTGTCTAAGCACCTGGTAAGCGTTTGACGTGATATATGATGCAAAAGCTTAACTCTAATTTGGAAACGCGTTTCTAGATCACTAAAGCAACTCTGACAAAAAGCACCTGCTTATGTGCTGAGAACTTCCCATATCCTTATTTCTTGACATAGGACTCAGAAGACATCGAGAAGAAGAAACCTGAAAAATAGCACAATTAATACAGAACGTAGACGACAAGAAGTTGGCAGAACATGAAAAAATCTCTACCGAGTCGGCTAGGAGCTGCGGTCGCGGACTTACTATGTCTCCCGGGCGCCCTGAGTCCCCAGAACGGCGCCACTGACCTGGCCTTACAGTACTGCAAAGGGCTACGTTTGTAAGCCGTAAACTGGAGAAGAGAATCATTAATCAGTTCTCAACAGACAGCAGTCTTACCCTGATGGAGTTCTAGGAGTGCCATAAAACGATGTTGAACCAAGGCCATCAGCTCCCTTGACAAAATCATCATCATATCCCTAGGGAAGAATAATCAGAGTAGATGGCTCGAGAGATGTACAGATATTAAGGAGTTACCTGATCGCTGTTGAAGTCGTAGGCCAGCCTCTTCGCCCTAAAGCAATAAAAATTCGAGCGGAAAGTGACAAGGAACGAATTCACAACACATTCGAAGCTCTTCACAAATGCAGGTTTTCGCTGCTGTTCCTCAAGAGTAATTACGGGCATTCTTCGCAGTGAGTCAGAAAGTCTGCTTCGAGTGGGACCCAAACCCAGACTTATGCAAGGTGCTACTAATTAAAGCCACAGAGGCTAAGGACCTGCTGCTCTACCTTAACGATGTTTGTCATAGCTCATCAGCACTATTACGCGGATGTGACGACAACAG